GAGTTCACCTTCAACTGATGAACAAGTCCTGACCTTGACTCTCCGAGTTGTATGAACAACTCGTCGAGTTCATCTTCAAACATAAGAAGATTGCCTTGGACTCGCCGAGTCTGTAATAGCACTCGTCGAGTCCCATGAACTCCAGGTCTAAAACTAAGTCCAATGTGTTGGGTCACTCTCTCTGTCCTGCTACAACCCTTCTAACACCCAACTGAGTTCTTTGACCCTCAACAGATATGGGACTCAAAGCCTTGGATTCGTCGAGTCCCAAGAACGGACTCGCCGAGTCGATAACGTCCACACCCTAAATCCTCGATTTCTGATGTACAACACTTGACCAAATGATAGATCCAAGCCCTTAAGCTCGATCTAGCACGTAAAGTTACGAACTTTACGTGCATGCATTGGACTTTTGAGCTTAAAAGGCTCTAAAATAACTCTTATGTTGCATGGGGCCTTCCTTGAGTGCAAAAGCCACCCAAATCTGCCTTGTGACCCCTCCCAAGACTTAGATCCGAAGTCTTGACCCCCAACCATGTTTGCAATCATGGTTGGCTACCTCATATGGCTTAAAAAGCCCTAAATCTTCCCCAAAAAGGGATCTCACAAACAAGCAAGCAAGGTACAGACTTTATACCTTCCAAAGACTGCAAATGATGAACCAACTCAAATCCTTCAGTCTCCTCTTGATCCTTCTATGCTCTTCCTTCTTCCTTGTGGTCAAAACCCACAAAAATCATTCAAAAGCCTTAGATCTTGCACCAAAACACTTAGGGTTTGCTATGGAGGGATTCTGGGAGCATAAAGGGGTGATGGAGGCTGTATAAGGTTGTTTAAATAGGGTGCAAACCCTCAGATTAGGGTTTTGTCCAGTCAGAGCCTACTCGTCGAGTCCGGGACCCGACTCGACGAGTCCATCATTTAAATCCCGCGTCTCATCCCGCTTCTACTCGGCGAATTGGTCCTTCAACTCGCCGAGTCCAAGGCCAAAAATGCAAAATACTTAAATAAAAAACATACCAGAAACCAGGTGCTACAGAAAGCCTGTTTTCGAATGAGTTTCCATGCATCTGTAGCGAATATTAGAAAAAACACGTTACAAACTTCAAATTTTTATAATTTGAAGAAGATACAAACGATACTTACTCGAGTTTTCTTTGAATCCTATGTGAAGTAGCGTGTGAATAATGGTGGTTCTCTTCCTTCCGTTATGATAAATATTGGAGTTTGAAGAGATAATTTCTCAAAATGAATGTCGCGTTCTGTAAATTCCATTTCCGTCATCTCATCTTGATTATTTTAACATACCATAGAAATCAATTGAAGAATCTAAATATTTTCTTAACAGACTCTTCTCATAATATTCAATTTTAGCTAAACAAAATTATTATGTAATAGCTCAAAAATCATTAATTTAACGTTACTTCAATAGAATTTTTTGGTAATTAAAAGAACTATATAACTAATATTCTAATTGTCAAAATTATCAAATATATTAGCTCTTTAAATCTTACAACAGAAAATTAATAGAAATTAACATATATATCATTAGCAATTTGTACCGATCGAACTTGTTAGTAGCTAAATGTGTTTGTACCAATTATACTTTGTAGTATCCATAGCAAAAATTTTATATCAATTATAATTGATACGGTAGACATAGACAGTTTACCATGTTAACCCATAAATATACATACACTAGCAAATAGTGCCACATGGTTTATGCAATTATCTTTTTTTTTTTTTGAGAAAATGACTCTGGAGGGTAACTAACTATTGAGTTTGTTCTTATTTGGTCACTTTCCTTTTTTTTGTACCCAATATACCATCAAACTTTTTGTTTGTGTTTACCATAACCTTTTTGACCGGCTATCACAGAAAAAAGGGTTATGGTGAACACAAACAACAAGTTCAATGGTATATTGGATACAAAAAAAAAAGGAAAGGGACCAAATGAGAACAAACTCAACAGTTGGTTACCCTCCTGATTCATTTTCACTTTACTCATTTACAGAAAATCTCACGTCATCTCATGCAACCTTCTTAGGCCAGAACGTACATGAAGAGCGTTTCGGAGGGGTAGCTTCGTTAAAACATGATCTATGCTATGCTTACTGTGATTAGCTGTCAACAACTCTCTGCAAAATGATATGACTATGTATGAGAGGTATCTTTATCAATATAAACGTTTACCTCAAGGTATATTATGGTGATGTGTCTGCAAAAGCTGCATGATCTTGTACATTTTGATGTTGCATCTTATCCCATGAATTCGATCTTAAAGCCAAGTAAACTAAAAAATCACATCACTTGTGATTCCACTCATTTGTAGACTTGTCCAAAATCCATGATACGATAAATCATTTGATTAGAAATGTAAATGTAGTCATGAAATGTACCCGATCAATCAAGATTCGCTAATAAATATTCAAATGCATTACAAAATTATACATGGATGAATAATGCTCTTTCGTAGGTTATGTTTTGAAGAGAAGCAAGAATGAATCTCATAAATTCATTAATATAAGCAGGAGATGACATGAGATTTTCTGTAAATGAATAAATGGAAAATGACCCGTGAGTGTAACCAACTGTTGAGTTTGTTCTCATTTGGTCCCTTTCCTTTTTTTGTATCCAATATACCATTAAACTTGTTGTTTGTGTTCACCATAACCCTTTGACCGGCTATCAAATGTGATAGCCGGTCAAAAGGGTTATGGTGAACACAAACAACAAGTTCCATAGTATATTGGGTACAAAAAAAAATGGATCAAATGAGAACAAACGTTACCCTCAACTAGGGTTGTCAAATCAGGCAGTCGTGTCTTGTTTTTGTCTGACACGCCACGACATGACAATGTTTTGTGTAACACGAACACGACACGACACGATGTCGTGTTTTTTTTCATTAACACGAAAACGAATCAATTATAACACGACAACACAACACGACACGACAAATATAATATTACATAACTATTAATGTATTTCGTTCATACTTAAAGATATATAACACGACAAACACATGCTTAATCGTGTCAATTTCGTGTCGATTTATGAACACGAACACGACATCGTGTTTTTTAATCTTGACACGAAAACGACACAAACACGAATTCGAATTTTGATTTCGTCCCGATTTCATTTCATTTCGTGTATTTTTGTCGTGTCGTGTCATAAATTGACACCCCTACCCTCCACACTCATTTTCCCTTTTTTTTTCACGCTAAAACAACCGTGAATGTATGATGATATGGGAAGTTATTCATAAAAGGGGTCTCCTTGAAAGAAAGCTTCAAGTGGAGCAACGTCAACCAACGTGACATGGAGGTCATAGTTTCCCATTTCACGCTGCTCTTCTTGAATTTTATCGACAGACTTGAGTACAGAAGAATTCGATTCGTCAATGTCAATATGCTCGAGTGTGGAGATAAACCCTATGTCGAATGGAATTTCCTTCAGTTTTTTGCAACTTCTCACCTCTAGTTTCCTGAGGCAGGGGAAACTGATCCTAGAGGTTTCCCAAAATTTGATGTCCAGGTGCTCTAATTTAAGGAATTTCAGTTGGCAAAACTGTCCATCACCAGCATCCCACAGGCTTCCCTTGAAGGAAGAGTCTAGTAATTTTAGAACCTCGAGATTGGGTAACTGTTGAATTGTTGACATGTAACTCCAAGGAAGACGTAACCCTTTTAAGGTCAGTTTTTTCAAGGTTTTCGGAAACCTAATTGGATTCACTATAGTTAATGGTTCATCCATGTCGTTCTCCACGTTTAAAGCTTCAAGACGAGTTAATGACGAAAAGTCAAAGAACTCAGAAACAGAACACGCAAGTTTCTTGAGGTTTGGAAAAGATTGCAGTACAAGCAAGTCATCTACTCTTAGCTTGGAAATGGTTTGCAGGTTTAATAATACAGGAAACGTGTGAATTAAAATAATCCTATCACTCAGTAAGTGCCTTAGATTCGCCATATTTTGCAAATTCGGTGAATACATGACATTTCCATACTTGCCTTTGAGAATGAGAGTTTGAAGCCTCGAGAGACCAGCCTCTGAGAATTTAAAGTCACGGTAGCCTGACCAAACAGCTAGGTACCTTAAATGAATTAGTATTTTTATGTCTTTGAAATCAAGGATGCGAATGTTTAGTAGATCCAAAACCCTAAGAAGCAAAAAGGAAGGAACCCATCTTCTACGTATGTTCTTTAACTCTTCACGGTTAGAAAAGCACAAAACTGACCTCATGTATGTGGTAGAATCAGAATCATAGATGTCACATAGAACTTTATAATCTGTGACTAAACGGTGTTGATTCTTTATGGTGGAAGTTGGATCAGAGTCTGACATACCTATTTTTTTGAATAGTTTCTTTTCAGCAGCTTTAATCAAGCACAATCCCTTAAAAGATCATGCAAACGACATGATTTGATTCCACCATCAGATCGTCTATTGACAATAATCAGTAAATTTCTGTCGACAAGATCCATCAGGTAATCTTCAGCTTGTTCCTCTAAAGCCTCTTTGAGCAGTTTCTTTTTCTTCTTTAACAAACCCTTCAGCCATCCACAGGCGGATCAACCTCCGTGCTTGGATTTCATAGTCCTCTGGAAACCCAGCTACATAGAGGAAGCAGTTTTTCAAATGATGAGGTAGATGCTCATAACTCAGAGCTAAAGTATCTAAGCATCCTTTAGGGTCATCGGCAATGTATGAACTCACACTTTCAGCAACTTTCTCCCAAAGATCTTTGCTCTTTTCTCCTTTCTCAAGAATCCCTGCAATCACAACTAATGCAAGTGGCAGACCTTGACATTTTTGAGCTATATGCTTCCCTGTTTCAATCAAAGTTTGAGGGCTTTCGTATCCCCTAAAACTCTTCCTACACAACAGCTCCCAACTTTTTTCTTCAGTTAAACATTGTAGATTGTGAGTGAAACCACCCGGTTTTGCATGCAAAGCAACTTCTGTAAGGCGAGTGGTTAGAATAATTCTACTCCCTTTGTTATCATCAGGGAAACATTGTCTCAGATTGTCCCATGCCTTGGTACTCCAGATATCATCAATCACCATCAAATATTTCCTACCCTTTAAGCTTTTATACACCATTTCACAGAGTTTTTGTTCAGTAATTGCTTCATGAACTGATATCCCCATTGATGCCAATATTCCTATTAACAGATCTCGTGTTGTGTATGCTTCAGAAACAGTAATCCACCCACGTATGTCAAAATAATATGCGACATACTGATCATTGAATATTTTGGAAGCCAAAGTAGTCTTACCTACTCCGCCCATACCCACGATCGAGATGATGTCTAGCTGCTTCCGGTATTCTCCAGTAAGTCTATCCATTATCGACAGTGATACCTCATCGAACCCCACAATGATTTGTTCGTGTTCTGCTCCGCTAGGGTTCACTCTTGCTGCAGCAACTTGTGGGTTTGCAATCTGAGGCTCCACGAGGTGCCGGATATTGTTATTGTTGACCGATTGCCGAATCTTATGTTGCATCTCTTTTCTGATAGATCTTAGGTCTTCGATGATAGCATTAAGGTTAAGTTGGAAATCGAGGATATGAGAATAATGACCCTCGCCGGTGAAGATTTCATCGTCACTGACCTTGAGAAAGGGGAAGGTAATAAGTCTTCTTTTCCAGTTTTCCACATCTTCGAATTCATTGATGTTAAAATCAGATCCAACCATGTTGCCAAAAAAGCTAGGAGGCGAATCAAGGTAATAAGAAGAATGACCCTCACCGGTGAAGATTTCACTGTCCCTAACCTTGAGAATGGCAGAGGATATGAACATATCAACGGCGTTTTCTGCCTCGTGCGCTCCATTCGTAAGTCTTCTTTTCCAGTTTTCCACATCTTCGAATTCATACAGTTCTTCTTCATCCGTGTTTTTGTTGTAGCAGACGGATTCGATCAGGTAGCGGAGCTCCTCATAAAGCAATTTGATCTCGGGCATTTTAGCTTCGATTAATCGGTTGCTTGTAATCAGTCGATTACCTTTATCGTTAATTAACCGTTCCAAGTTCCCCATGAAAACATCCAGATTTGTGATTGTCATCTCTCCGGTCAACGGTTGTGAAGAAGACATGTTAGAGCCGAGTGGACACTGGTTGATTTCAATCAAGCCGTGGAGACTGGTAGCGAACTAGAGAATGCAGCTTTTGACTATCTAGTCTAGTCTAATATACAAGTTTAAACAAAGATATAATCATTATATTATTAACAATAATTTACAAATCTAGCCGTTTTGTCTAATAACTTTGCTAAACATAGTCAAAGTTTTAGATATTTTTAAAAATAGCCACCTGAACCACATATGATGTTAGGTCTAATGTGGTTTCGCCTTCTTATATATGGTTTCGTTAAATTCGATAAAATGGTACGAGTTTTCGAATAATGGTTTGTGATTTCATGGTCCGAATGCAGAATCAAAGTCCATCAACCCAGTATGTTTAAAGTTGAAAAAAAAAAATTATAGGTCATTTTTTCATTCACTCCACCATATGTACATTAAATAGTTGTACAACTTTGTGACATCTAAAGTTTCGTTCTTCATTTTTCGGGTTTTGTTCTTCATTTTTCCGATTTTGTTGTGGTATTCCCTAAGTGTCTAGGTTAGTAGTACGTTGTATGAATTTTGGGTTTAAACCAAAAAAAATTAACGCTTTTGAAGAAAAAAACCGAAGATGAGACAAAGAACAAAACGCAGATGGGTTTGTAAAACTAAAGATGAACCCCATATGTGGTTTCATGTTTCAAATCTAGAAAAAGATATGTGGTTAATTTGTTTTAAATTTCCACAAAATCTATCGATTTCTCCCTCTGTCGCCTTTCAATCCTCCCGCCACAGCCTTGCTCGATTTCTCCCTTCAACGAACGGTTTTTTTTATTTCCTTCCTATTGAACGTTGATGTAGCAGCAGCCCAAAGGTAATGGAAGAAGGCTCATGAAGCACACATATAGGACGCATGGACAAAAAACACACATATCCCCTTCAATATGTCAATTGCATTCATGGAGGTGTTTTAATGTGATTTTTGTGTTGAGGTATGAAGACTTGTCCAACATGGAGCATTTGGATCATGTTCATGGAGCATTTGGAGCACTTGGAACTCAATGGAGCACTTTGGGTTCATGGAGCATGTGACAAAGGAATAGATCATCTAAGAAGGAAATGGATCGTCTGACAAAGGTACGGATCTAGTGCCAAGGGAACGGATCATATAGAAGGGGGTTTGGAACACTTGGGAGTGATATGGAGCAACAAGGGATCCTTGCTGCGCTATCTGTTGAAGGGTTGGACCAAGAAGGATGTTGTTGCGCTAAGGGCACTCCTTCTTGCGCCAAACTACTCCCTCTTGCGCCATGGGGTACCTCTCTTGCGCCATGAGGTACTCCTGTTGCGCCATGGAGTATGTCGTTGCACCAAGCGTGGCCTTGTTGCGCCATGTATGTTGTTGTTGTGCCAAGATGGTGATGTTGCTCCAACCTAGAAGTTCTTGTGCCATACTTGATGCCTGTTGTGCCATCCTTGCACATGTTGCGCCATCATGGTGCAAGATGTGCCTATTTAGTTACTTGATGAGCCATGGTATCCCTGATGAGCCAAGTATGCTATGAAGTCCTCTATGATGCTCAAGATCGTTCAAGGATACTCAGTTGTTGGTATTGCTCAAGTATTACACAATGTTGTGCCACCATGATGGATGTTGGACCATTAGTGATCATGATGCTCCACCTGTGCATCATGTTGCTCTACTACGGTCAAGGTGGTCCATCATGTGTGTTCTTGATGCTCATAGGATGTATGACATGGAAGAATGTTCTAGAAGTTGTTGCATAGTGGGATATGATTGATTGTCACCATTCATGGGCTTATGGGCCAATGGGCTTGGCCCATTAGGGTTTTAGGTCTGATCCCTCAAGTATAAATAGACTCATATCTCCATCATTATATGCTTGCAGAAAGTTAAGATTTTCAGAAGTTTTATTTCCACAAGTTCATCAAAGCTTCTTTTTATATTTGTCTGGAGTGCTTAACTTGTTTTGTTGTCACCCAACAAACTGGTATCAGAGATATGGCTGAAGATGGGAAAGTTAAGATTGACAAATTCAATGGGCACGATTTCGGTTTCTGGAAAATGCAAATCAAAGACTACCTCTACCAGAAAAACTTACATGAACCGTTGTCCCAAAGTAAACCTAAAGAAATGAAGCACGGGGATTTGGAATTGTTAGATCGGAAAGTACTTGGTGTGGTGAGATTATCCTTGGCAAATAATGTAGCATTCGACATTGTCAATGTGAAGACTACTCATGAGTTGATGAAGCCACTATCTAAAGATGAAGTAGGGAGGCTTAGTGATTGATCATGTTAATGAATTTAATTCAATCCTATCAAGGTTGATTTCGGTTGATATTAAATTTGAAGATGAACTCATGGCATTGCTACTATTATCATCTTTGCCTGATAGTTGGTCTGGTACAGTGACAACAGTTAGCAGCTCAGCTAGGGGCACTAAGCTGACATTCGAAGGCATTCGCGATTTAATCCTTGGTGAGGATGTACGCAGACGGAGTGCTGGAGAAGCTTCCAATAGTCTTCTGAGTACTGAAGATAAAGGAAGGGGTCCAACAGAGGATGTGGGGGTAGTGGAAGATCAAAATCGAGAAGGAGAGGTGGACAGAATAATAGGAGGGACGTGACCTGTTGGACATGCAAAGAGAGTGGTCATGTCAAAAGTCATTGTCCAATGCTCGTGGCAGATAAAGGCCACAAGGAGATGAAAATGACAGAAGATTTTGAAGGTGACGCGTTCATTTGTTCAGTTGAAAATTCAATAGAATCATGGGTCTTGTATTCTGGTGCGTCATTTCACACTATTCATTCCAAAGATGTGATGCAGAACTTCAGGCATTACTAAGGAAACGTTAGGCTGGCAGATAACAAGTGTCTATATATCATGGGTGTCGGAGATGTGGTTCTCAAGTCGACTCTGGGTACGGATTGGACTTTGAAAAATGTCAAGTTCATTCCAGATCTAAATAGTATGTTGTTGCGCCAAGTGTGGTCTTTTTCCGCCATGTATGTTGTTGTTGTGCCAAGATGGTGATGTTGCTCTAACCTAGAAGTTCTTACGCCATACTTGATGCCTGTTGCGCTATCCTTGCACATGATGCGCCATCATGGTGCAAGATGGGCCATTTTTGTTCCTTGATGAGCCATGGTATCCCTGATGAGCCAAGTATGTTATAAAGTCCTCTATGATGCTCAAGATCGTTCAAGGATGCTCAGTTGTTGGTATTGCTCAAGGATTACACCATGTTGTGCCATCATGATGGATGTTGGACCATTAGTGATCATGGTGCTCCACCTGTGCATCATGTTGCTCCACTATGGTCAAGGTGGTCCATCATGTGTGTTGTTGATGCTCATGGGATGTATGACATGGAAGAATGTTCCAAAAGATGTTGCATGGCGAGATATGATTGGTTGTCACCATTCATGGGCCTATGGGCCAATGGGCTTAGCCCATTAGGGTTTTAGGTCGGATCCCTCAAGTATAAATAAAATCATATCTCCATCATTATATGCGTGCAAAAATTTCAAGAGAGTAATCATTGTAAGGTTGAGAGCACTCCTTTGGAGCAGCTAGTAAGCAAGAGAGACTCTTTTGTTTTGAGAGCTCAATTGAGGTGTAACATTTGTGTGTGATTGTAATTGTTATTGGAAGTTATAAAATCCTCTCTCTCTCACACACACACACTCTCTCTCTCTCTCTCTCTCTCTCTCTCTCGTTCGACCATGGATGTAGGTCACCTTGACCGAACCACGTTAAATATTGTGTTCACTTGATTCACATTTTCAGAAGTTTTATTTCCGCAAGTTCATCGAAGTTTGTTTTGATATTTGTCGGAAGTGCTTAACTTGTTTTGTTTTCACCCAACATTTTGTAATTTAGTCCCTAACCTTCCAAACTTGAACTTCTTTTACCCTAACCCTAGATAGTATAACATTTCAAGTTTCTTTTAATGACATTATAGTCCCTCTATTCCATTTATACATTTTAATGCCTTGTAAAAACTCTATATTCTCCCAAATCAATTTAATTAAATTATATACCTCGTAATTATTGATTGATTCTTTTAAATACTGATTAACATCATTTTTATTTAATTTATTTCAATTTATAATCATAAAACCAAATTTATGTACAAAATAATTAACTAAATAACGAAAGCTGACATCATTAAGAAAAGGATTTTTGGGTCGTTACAGGCCGTGGTGTGTTACAACAATGGAAATTAGGTCAACATTCTGCAAACACAAGCACTATGAAAACACATGTAATAGACCTAATGTAACATATTCCAATCATTTTAGTGTGAATGAAATTTTATACTTTGAAATTTTTTAGGTGTGTCAAACTAAACAAATAATAGGGGTACAATAGACTCCAACTACATTACTTTAATGTACTAAAGAGTAGTACAAAG